AGGAGAAACTCCTCGTACTGATATATTTGTTGCTGAGAGCAGACAACACTTGGAACCTTACAGTAAATGACAGTACTTATTCCATAGTAGACTTGTCACTGAATTGACAGGAGATCACCAGGACTAATTGGAGTCTTCACGCAATATATCTTCCTCTTCCACAAAACTAGGCAAGAGTGGATTCCCAGCCTTGTCCTTTATGTTCACTGCTATTAATTTAATATGTTCATAAAGAACTTTGTGAATATCAAAATGAGACAGTGCTAGTGCTTTTCCAGGAGAAGGGTATATTGGTGAAATTTAATAGAACTTGCATCCAGTTGCATTTGATAGGTCATTTACTGCCTCATGCTAAACACTGGAAAAGTAAACCCCAACTTCATAAATTTTCTAACTCAGGACTGTAGTATTTTCTGGAATGATGTACTTAATAGGGACAAAGTACAGCTGCTCTCGGTGGAAGGTTATGCTAATGTACTGCAGCTCTATGCATTGCAACCAACTGTAGGTCCATCATACCTCATGCTAACTTCAGGAGAATTTATTTTTAACTTCATGAGTAATACATTCTTGTTGGATCAAGCAAAAGAAGTGTGTTCCTTGATCCATTTATGCCTGTCTGATTTTTGGTGATAACATCATGGCTGGCTTAAAACAATTACCAGGTAACTATGGGTATTGTATTTCCATAGCAACTGTCTCATGGATGGCCCCATACCATTCTTGCTGTACTTATTTGCTCGAGTTTATTTCCATCTCCACAGTGATACAATTAGAATTGCTATATGCTTTGTGCCTGCTGAGCCAGAACAAATATATATCTTCCCTAAAATGTTCAGTATATGCAGTCTTCTACTTAGCAGAACTATTAAAAAATCTTTGCCAACACTACATCTGAAAGGATAAAGCAGAGGTACAAAAAGGTAACATGGTTTGCCTAAGGTTGCACAATGTTTCACAGCATTAATTTTCCACAGTTTACATCCATAAATTTCTTTGGGCAAAACCTGGCATTGCAACAACTGAATATGTATTCAATTGTTTCACCGAATATTATATTTGCTCCTGTATAGATAATTTAAAGCACCTTGACTGTTAAATGTGGTATCTACTTATGTTTGATTAATTATTTGAGTCACTTTGTGTCTCTTCGGATTTTTATTTCATTTTTCATTTTTATGATATTCCTTACTACTTGTCTTTAGCATTATCATCATTTGTTGCACTCCATTGAGAACTGAAATTAAGAGCATCACATGTACGTCTGAGGTAAGCAGGCATCCGCATATGGAAATTACAGGTCTCTGCACTTTGTCAGCACTTTTCATAGCGTGTGATGGTAAATGCTATAAACATCTGTGCTTGCTTATACTATTGCTCTTTCTACATTCCCTTCCTTCTTGCCCAGCTTGACTTAAGCTAGTGTATTTTTCAGGGGAGGGTGTTTTTTTATTTTGTTTGTGCAACATGCAGCTTGATTGGGCTTTTTGTGTTCCTCTATATTTTAAAGACAAATACATCTGAAATAAATGCATTTGGTTTAATTTGGTTACTTGCATTTAAAAGTAGTGGTCCAAGCTTCCAAAATTTCAGGACAGAATTGTAACCAGAATTGCACAAAATATTTGCAAATAGGCATTAGAAAATTTCTCTAGTTTGGTTATAAAATAATAGAAATTTTCTCTTTTTCTCTATGTATGCTACATCTCATCTTTTATGCCTTAATTTGGCTTTGTAAGAAATACTGATTGAGAATGCTGATTTAGGTGTTCTGACATTTGTAAAACTGTAGAGAATAAAAACTGGCATAGAGTATGGATAGGATTTGTGCCTAAACCATAAAAGATGAAGAATACAGATATTCATATAATCCTATTTTCCTTTAAACAATAAAAGATGGTGAAAGGTATGCAAATACCTAAATTTTCTCCCAAGCAAATGTTGGTACATGCCTGGTAACACATAGATCAGAAGATAAAATCTCATGGAGAAAACTGCTAGAGCAAATACAGTAATGGTAAGGCAGAAGTCAAATGTGAGTAAACATCTCTGAATGGGATTCTCTATTGTTTCTTCTGTGAAAATGCTGAAATGGTCTGTAAAGAAACATGACTGAGTTGACTTCACTATTTATAGTCCTGTTTTAACTATGAGAGTCTGTGAATGACTGTCAGAGCTGCTGACGTGGAGCATAGAACTCTTCACTTTCAACATATATCTGTCACTTACGTAACAGCCTACACTTTCTATAGTTATTACTTCCCCTTTATCCTAATTTCTTCGCCTTTCAAAAAATTAACAGAGGAATGTAATTATGTTGAACCTGTTTCCAACACTTCTAGTATCTTACATTCTGATGCCATCCTCAAAACCAATTACACTGCACACACATAAATATGAATGGAAACCAAGAACATCATCTCTGGGAGACACTGTCATGCCTGCAAACAGCAAAAATATTTATTCAGATAATTTGAAGTGTGAAGAAATATTATTATATTATAATACTATGTAATATTATGCTGTCAGCATGTAGGACTCTGGAGGAAACTTACGCTTACGCTTTTGCCAAATGAAATACAGGAAATAAGAATTTTGGCCCATGGATGATTCACAGAGTGGCGTAAAAGTGATTTGAGAAGGATAAGACTTTTCTCCAGTGAATTAGCTTATAATATATTAAAAAAAAAAAAAAAGCCAACAGTGTTTATGCTATTGCATAGTAGTATAACTATAAATGTTATAGTTTGTTATTTAGTTATTGAAGAATACCTTTGTATTTACATGACTGTGAGAATTCTGCATCAAATATATAAGAGCATCTTTATGTTTTAAAACTATTTTTGCACTAAATGAAGTACTGTTCATTGTAGAAAAGAGTTTTTCTGGAGTTTTTAGCAACAAGCTGAGAAATTTCTGGTAGTACAACAAAAAAGAACATAATAATGTTGTCTTTAAGAATTCTTTTAGCAGAATGAAATCTACCCTTTCAAAATGCATTGAGTTTTCTGTGATTATTCCCTTCCACTCTAAAGAAATTTGACTGTAGTTCACAGTACACTAAAATTTTAGTACACTACTACTGTAGTTCACCACTACTGTAGTTCACCCTAATAATAATAAATGTTCTTGCTTTAAAGGGAAACTCTAAGACCATTCCACTGAGAACTGTAAGGCATTTGCACGATAATTAGGTGAATTTCCTAGATAGACAACAATTCTTTTTGTCAAAAATATAAATATAAAAATCTAAATGATTTTTACAATAAATAAATAGATAAACAAACAAACAAACAAACAAGGTATTGCTTGAATATAGGGATGGAAGATTCTTTCCAGACTAGAATTAGCTGGAAGCTTTGACAAATCCCTATGGAGACCTGGAGATACTCAAAATGAGCTTGTTTTAATGCAAGATGACTCCCTCTGACATCTGTGACTCTGCATCTGAAGATCTGTACCTGAACGAAGTACTTCTGTGGAATTTTGCAAGTGAGTGAATTCTACCAAATTTCTTGTCTTACTGGATCAACAAAAGCAGCAGCATGAATCTCAACTAATATTGAGGAAGGGTAAATCTCTCTCCCTTTTCACTTTTTATAGTTCTTCTGTAAATGCTTGTGCAACCTGAAGAGATTTGCAGGCGAAAGGGACAAGAGAGTAAGCAGATTTGAGCAACAGAATATACACTGGCTGGGACTAAAAATTGTCATAGTTTCCAATACAAGATCCATACATTTATCTCTAGTTTCAGCATGCATTAAGTTTTCAGTCTCCTTATGAACTGTGTGTACACTGGGTGTGTGGGCCCAAAGGCTGAACAATATGTGGTATTTTTTTTCCATGCTGCATCACTGAGTTGCTTAGTCTTTGTTTTTCTTTCTTTAGATTATTACCAGAATATATATCTGGAGTACTGAGTCAAGGCCTAGAACACCCAGTACAGGAAGGACTTGTGTCCTGTGGAGAGGGTCCAGAGGAAGACCACTAAGATGATCAGAGGGCTGGAGCACCTCTCCTATGAGGAAAGGTTGAGGGAACTGGGCTTGTTTAGCTTGGAGAAGAGAAAGCTCCAGGGAGACCTCAGTGTGGCCTTCCAGTACTTGAAGGGAGCCTATAAAACAGGAGGGGAAAGGATGTTTACGAGGATGGATAGTGATAGGGCAAGGGGGAATAGTTTTAAGCTGAGGCAGGGGATGTTTAAGTTAGATATTAGGAGGAAGTTTTTTACACAGAAGATGTTGATATAGTGGAAGAGGTTGCCCAAGGAGGTTGTGGATGCCCCATCCCTGGAGGCATTCAAGGCTGGCTGGACATGGCTTTGGGCAGCCTAGTCAGGTGGTTGGCGACTCTGCACCTAGCAGGGGGGTTGAAATTAGATGATCTCTGTGGTCCTTTTCAAACCAGACCATTCTATAACTCTATGATTCTATAAACATATCACAGGTGCATCATCAACATTTCTTGAGAAATGTTACATCTTCCATGAAACGGGTCGAATGATAAGGTGTACATGATTCTATTAAATAAATTATTACATCTCTAGCTGAGGGAGTAGCTTAGTAAAGAAGATTAACAGAGCTGCTAATCTGAGGAAAGAAAACCAGAACTGATGGAAAGAAGTTTCTTCCAAATAATCTATATATCACCTATTGTTTTTTTTTTAATCTGTTAAAGGAAATAAATTTTTTACGTATAAATCTCACAGGTTATTGACCTCAATCAATAGTTGGAATTTTCTTGCGTCTTGGAAACATTTTTCTGAGACTTATTCTCTTTTGAATAATAGGACATTGTGGAAGAAAACACTTCTTCAGAACGTAGGAGAAAAAGACTCAACTTCACAGCAGCTGCATATAGTAACATACAGTTATGTTGTCTTGGAACTGGAGAAAACATCTTCAAAACTTTTGCTACAAGATCTCTAGAATAGACTCATTTTTTTGTTATTTGGTGTGTGGTGCATCTTTATAAAATTAATAACAACAAGTTATTTTTACCTGTAACCAAGCTGGATACAATTAGTGGCAGGACCAGCATTTGCAGCATTCTCATGAGTAGTTCTCCTGGAAATGAAAAGTATTTGACTTCCCGATAGCTCATCTTATATGATCGGAGAGAAAATCCAAGGATTACACCTGTAGAGAGAGACGAGCTGTCATGATTTACTCTTCTGAAGCAGTAGTAACATCTGAGTATAAGTAGTTGTACAGTAATTGACAAATCTGAAAATTATAAAACATGCAGCTTTTGTGCTCTAGACTACACTCCAATCTCAAATATCAACCATCTGTATGAGTAGTTCTACTGGAGGCAGTGAATTACATTCTACAGATTCAGAATGTTATTTTCATTACTATTTTATATAATCTGGGTTTATGTAAAAGGTAATCTTGACTGTTAATGAAAAGGAAACTGTTGTTACTACTGTTCCTTGACTTCAGGGATTCTGAATGTAATCGTGTGCATGCTAGCCACAAGCCTTCAGAAGTCTTGTCCATGCCTGTCTTCTCTGTAGGACCTGATCCTGTACACATGCTTCAGATGGGATGAGATAACCAGGAGATGAGCTGAGAATCCCCTTGTGGTTAGGCCTTCAAACAGCAAAGCAGCACCAGGATGTGAGTAGCTTTATAGTGCCTGCCTTCAGACATATAGGCACTTGCAAAGCAGCAGCTAATCAAGTGGGAGGGCCTTTCTGGATGACTAAGTGACAGGTTTTAATACCTGAGGCTGTAGGGTGAGGGAGTGTCCGAATTCATTCATCTTGCTGGGAGTAGATAAGTAATGCTTGAGGTATATTTACAAATGGAAGCCATGGGTAGTCCCATGTTCACAGCTGGAATTTCTAAGATTTCATCCTCCACCTGGCATCAACGCTTATTTGGTTAACTATTTGGTTAATCGACGTTACTCATTACAATTTACTGAGCATTAAATGGCTTTGTACCTATCTGATGTAGGCTTTCTATATCCAGCCAAGCAGCACACTTCTTATCTAGTACACTCCTTATTCATACGGATGATGAAACTCAGCTATCCTTTCCCTCTCCTGACTCCATGTTTATAGTTTGAATTGGAAGGGACCCTTAAAGGTCACCTGTTTCAAACTCCCTGCAGTGAACAGGGACTTCTTCAACCAGATGAGGTTGGTCAAAGCCCAGTACAGTTTGACCATGGATGGCTCAAAGACAAGGCGCAGAGTGCAGAGGGTTGTTGTTGGCGGTGCAGAGTCTGGCTGGAGACCTGTAACCAGTGGTGTTCCTCAGGGGTCGGTGCTGGGTCCGGTCTTGTTCAACATCTTCATCAATGACCTTGATGAGGGGATAGTGGCCACCCGCAGCAAGTTTGCTGATGATACAAAGTTGGGAGGATTGGCTGACACGCCTGAAGGCCGTGCTGCCATTCAGCAAGACCTGGACAGGCTGGAGAGCTGGGCAGAAAAAAAACCGGATGAGGTTTAACAAAAGCAAGTGTAGAGTCTTGCATCTGGGGAGGAATAATTGCATGCACCAGTACAGGTTGGGGGATGAGCTGCTGGAGAGGAGCTCTGCAGAGAGGGACCTGGGTGTCCTGGTGGACGACAGGTTGGCCATGAGCCAGCAGTGTGCCCTTGTGGCCAAGAGGGCCAATGGCTTACTGGGGTGCATTAAAAAGAGCGTGGCTAGCAGGTCGAGGGAGGTGATCCTCCCCCTCTACTCTGCCCTGGTAAGGCCTCATCTGGAGTACTGCGTCCAGTTCTGGGCTCCCCAGTACAAAAAAGACAGGGATCTCTTGGAAAGAGTCCAGCAGAGGGCCACAGAGATGGTGAAGGGCCTGGAGCATCTCTCCTATGAGGAAAGGCTGAGTGAACTGGGTCTGTTCAGCCTTGAGAAAAGGAGACTGAGAGGGGACCTGATCCAGGTCTATAAATATCTGAGGTGTGGGGGGCAGAATAGCGAGGCCGGACTCTTTTCAGTGGTGAGTGGAGACAGGACAAGGGGAAACGGCCGGAAACTGCAGCATAGGAAGTTCCGCACAAATGTGTGCAAGAACTTCTTTACAGTGAGGTGACGGAGCACTGGAACAGGCTGCCCAGGGAGGTGGTGGAGTCTCCTTCTCTGGAGATGTTCCAGACCTGCCTGGATGCCTACCTGTGCGACCTGCTGTAGGGAACCTGCTTTGGCAGGGGGGTTGGACTTGATGATCTTTGGAGGTCCCTTCCAACCCCTACAATTCTGTAATTCTGTGATTCTGTGAAGGCATCCACCACATCTCTGCACAACCTGTTCTTGCCCAGTGTACATTACTAGCATTTGGGCTAATTGTGGCTGTATAGAAAGTTGAATCAGATAGTTAATTCAACTTGCAGAAATTATTTATTTTACTCTCTTCCAGATCTATTCACTCAGATAATATTTTTGCATGGCTGCACAAATGTTGGTAGCTCCACAAGGAAACAGGTAGGAATGTGCCTTGAAGAAGAGTGGTACTGAAGTTTTTTGGCAGCCAGGCATACTCAGACATCCTGATATTTTTCATGGAACTGCATCCTCAGATAAAGGGCAGCAGAGCATTCTAGTTCCCCCATGAAACTTCCTGGAACTTGGATAGGTACTGCAGATGCCAGAGCATAGCATCTAGTTGCAGTTCCTGATCACTTTCTGCTTATTTTTGTTTTTTAAATAAGATTTTAGATTTGTAAATTCATGCAGCAGATATCTTCATCCCAAAATTTTATCAGCTAAAATATTTTGCTATGCCTCCTACACTAGCTTATTGCCATCTTTTGGCATGAGAAAACAACTGTAACTCCCATGTTAGTAACCTGTATCTGTCTGACCATCCTGCTGGGAAACGTGGAAGACTGGGAAAGTTACAAGTGTCTGGAAATGTGTAGGACAGAAAATCCCAGTGTTAAGGGGTAAGAGAAAAGTGTTAAGAATACAAGTGGAACAAAGCATGGAGATCACACAGTGGAATAGGGTGGTGGGACTGAAAAACATTCATTTTAGCCTCATTCATTTTTGTGGACTCAGGAAGTCAAAGTGCATTTTGTACAAATGATTTTATAAATGAAAGTGAACCATAAAGTGCAGAAGGGCCCCAGAAGACCTGCATTAAAATTTCCTTCTTTTAAGATTTTAAATTCCTCTGCAGTGCTACTAATTATTTTCTTTTTAGATGGGAAACATATTTCTCAGACATAAAGAATCCATCTGGACCCTTTGTTTCTTCACTTAATGAGCACTACATTTTGACAACTGGATAACAAGCAAATAGAGCTAAACCAGTCTCTTACTTAGGCTCCAGTCCTGCAATTAGTTCTACATGGATTAATCTCTGCGCTAATACAAAGACTTACTGAAGTTAGTGAGGGATTCTGAGGCTGCTATAAGAACTAGTCCTTATGCTATACTATAAGGGCTTGATTATCTCAAAAACTACTGTCCAAGCAGTACAATGTTGGCTCAGAGAGAACCAGGACCCAAGTGGATGGCTGCTTCAATGAATATTATTGGTGGTATTCCCTTTTTTTTTTTTTTTTTTTTTTTTTTTTTTTGTCCTAATGTGTTTTGTGCATAATTACACTATTGCCCAACACTGTAATTTACAAGAAAATAATTCTGCAACATGGAAAATATGTGCCCTGGTGACCTGGGCTGACATCTGATATTTACTAATTCTTCTGCCTTAATCTTAGCACTACAGTTGATTTATGTTAAGTCATGCCTAGGCCATAAAAACCTTTCTCTAACTCAGTTTCCCCACTGATAAAATAGAGTAGTAATTGCTTTACAGATCTCTCTGAATATTGTGTTAACATAGTGATCTTAGCAGCAGAAAAAGGAATTTAACCAAATGATTTTCTCATTGTAGTCTGAAAATTAAAGCAGAACAGCATGGTTTTATTAGCCTCTCTTGATTTTAGAAAAAATGAAGATGAAATATCATTTTATGTTCTGAGTTTAACACTTAGATATTGGATATTTTTTCCTGTCAAAATTTTGTAAACAAAGATTATGGTCATGAAAACAAAAAATGAAAGTAGTTAAGATAACTTTGACTTGTTTTAATTCATTTTTCAAAGCCAACGTTTTGGGTTCAGGTTTTAAATTATCAGATAACACCATAAAACCATAATTTAAGTCAGGCACTATAATAAAGTATTAAAATGAAAGCAGTATGAGCCATTAAACCTTTGGAAAACGTGCAGTATTTCAAAAGCCATCCACATCAGTGTCTGGTAAGAGTTGTATGGATTAGCAGCCTCCACAATCAAGACTGAGAAGGGTAAATAATGGAGCAGGCTTTTCTCAGCAAAAGTTTCAAGTTTCTTATTAATTCTGAAAATTGTAACAAAACAAAGCTTTGTGTGAAACATGCTGCAACAACCTGTAGGGCAGGTTTCTGTCTACCCTTTGTAACAGAAAAGAACACCTAATCTACAATATCAGAGCCTGACCTCTCAAACAGTAAATGGTGCACCATTTCTACACAGCTAGAAAGAGCAGATTTCTCAACAGAATCTGTTTTGCTTTTCTGGACAAAAATCAACAGCGTTTGTTTAAATTGAGGAGCTGTATTCCCTACATCTGTAAAATAGTACAAAAGCGCGATTTAAGCATAACAAAACAAATCAGATTACAGTTATAAAAACATGGCTTTTGAGGTGTACTTGTCAGTGATACTCTCAAATTTATGGAAAATCTTTTTGCAGATAAACCTGATGACAATCAGAATAAACTTTTAACTGAACTATTTTATAGCATTTTTATTCTGGTGTAGTTGTTCAAATTAGAATTTAGCTTACATAAATTCAATCAAGAGAGGATTTAAAACTTGAAAGGGACAGAGAAGAAAATAATGTTGCTGTTAATGAGAATGGAACCAAAATGGCAGAAATAGCAGATATTATTTGGGTTTGCTTGCTCCTAAAGCAGGAAAATATTGATGAATTGGTCTAGGCTTTTCACTTTCAAATGGCTGCAGGAACAGAAAGGAAACTTTTTCACTATTGTAGACAAATATCCTTTTACTTGAAATTTCTGAAATGGATTAAGTGTGATGAATTGAGTATTAAAATCTGGGTCTGGAGCAGCAATTAAAAATAATATTTTTATACTCAGTTTTTATGAACAGTTTAGTTACAGTTCTT